GGGGACCATTCTTCATCAGTGTGCCTTGTTAAAAAACACACAATAATCTTCCTTTGGATACCCTTTTTGTGATTTTATAGCACAATAATCTTCCTTTGGATACCCAATGTTAAAGGAAAGAAACATAATCTTTCACTAACCTATGTAAGATGCCCACTTTTCAAACATCAGTCTATTAAACCACCAATTGCCTTCAAAGTGTGAACTGTTTAGAAATGTAAAACATAAGTGTATACACACTTCATCACGTCCTTTCAAATAAGATTGAAACTCTTTTGATGTCAACACATGCTAGATCATAAACGTCAAAATGGTAACAAGATCAGAATGTAAAATCTTCTACTATAATAGTCGAGTGCCACATCACTGGATAATGTTAATGACATTGCTAAACAAAGAACTCTATGGCACAGAGAAAGGACAGAAACCAGTCGTGACAAGGCTAATCAAAGGTGTTTGTAGCATGTTTTACTGCATCATTTCGTAAGATTACTAGCTGGCTTCAAGTTTTTAGCTTGATGATTATACTAAATTCAACTACTTTACCCCCAAGAATTAAAAGCACATGAAACAATGCAATTATCACATGGGCTTTAAAAATTCAGAGCTCTCAAATTCAATACTTTTCATACCTCCTAATGGTCACCCACCCTTATTCCTCAGGGCTATGTTTTAAATTCGTTTGGGCTATGGTGACAAGTATCCGAACTTGAGGGAGTAGTCGACGCAAATATAGACATGTTATAGCAAAAAAAAATATTTTATTCATGATAAGTCACCTTTCGGTAAGTATATCTCAATATTTAATTTTATCTTAAGACAATTATATGTAAGCTAGGTCAATTTTGGGTAGCTTTACTTCACCCTATGCTGCATAATAGAGAGAGAACAAAGAGGTTTTAACTGTTCTCATGTGTACAGCTAGTGTTTTTTTTAAATAGGTAGTCTTTCTAGAAATTGTACAGAAACAAGTTCATTTTGTCATTTTGTGGCTGCCATGGAAAATGAAAAGAAAAAGGATGCATACTTAACCATAGAGAAGATGTTGCGTTTTGAGCCTTAGACACTCTAGTTTACGTAATATTTGTCATTTGTGTGTGATATTCTTAGTTTATATTGTAATCACGAATCTAAAGAACACGTGATTAGATAATTCTCGATTATTAGAAAATACGTGTAGAAGATGAAAATAAAAATGCTACTTATGCATCATAAATTCTTGGTGTTGTACATCGTCCGCTGTAATTTTTAATATTCCTACTTAAAACCCAAGAGGGCCCTCCTCTCACCA